ACTTTTAACTTGTATCAGAAAATAAATTCCTTAAGCCAAAACAATTTGTCTGTCTCAGAATATTACCATAAGTTGAACTCCTATTGGAAGCAATTTGATGTTCTCGTAAAACTTCCATCCTGTACTTGCAATGCTTCACATGATTTTCTAGAACATAGTCAACTCATTAAACTAATGCAGTTTCTTATGGGTCTTGATGACGTTTATCAGCCTATTAGAAGCAATATTTTAACTAGAGACCCCCTCCCTTCAGTTAAAACTGCTTTTTCTCTTGTATCTAGGGAGGAATCTCATAGAGGTGTTAATTCTAGTCAAAATCGTACTAAAACACAAAATTCTGCTTTTTTAAGCAAAGGTTTTGAAAATAGAAGGAGACCTGGAAGAACCCCTAAAAATCTTGTTTGCAAACATTGTGGTGTATCTGGTCATACAATTGAACGTTGTTTTAAACTGATAGGCTTTCCTAAAGATTTTCCAAATCGATCCAAACCCTCAAACCCTAATCTTAGATCGACTTCTGTAAATGCTTCTACATCTGATTCTACTTTGTCTAAGTCTTCCTTTAGCTTTTCAGAGGATCAGGTTGCTAAGATTTTGAACTTGATTAATCAAACCACTACCTCCACCTCAGACGGAGCATCTGCCAATATGGCAGGTACGTTTGAAAAATCCCAGTCTGGTTGGATAATAGATTCCGGAGCTAATCAGCATATGACTTCTTGTTCCTTAAATCTAGAAAATGTTGTTGATGTTACTGATCTAAATCTTAAGGTCACTCACCCTAATGGGACTAAAGCTAGAATAAATGAGATTGGAAATTTAAAATTATCCAATAATGTGGTTTTATTTGATGTGCTTGTGGTCCCTGAATTCAATGTTAATCTTCTGTCTGTTCACAAATTAGCCAGAGACAATAAAGTTTCTATAAGGTTTGATGAAACAAAATGTTATGTTCAGGATTATCTGCAGAAGAACATTGTGGGGACTGGTAGCCAGAATGGAGGGCTATATTTTTTTTACCAAAGTTTTAACAGTAATGTTTCTCTTTCTTCCAACATGATTTGCTTTGTTTCTTCCCATCTATGGCATAATCGTCTTGGTCACCCCGCTAATCAAGTTCTGTCTGTTCTAAATAAAAGACTCAAAATTGGAAATGATGTCAGTGGTCCTTGTGAGATTTGCCATAAGGCAAAACAAACAAGAGAGAAATTTGTTTCTAGTGTTTATAAATCTAAAGGTCTAGGTGAAATCATTCATCTAGATGTATGGGGTCCCTATCATGTCCAGAGTAGAGAAAGATATAGATATTTCTTGACTGTCGTGGATGATTTCACTCGTGCATTATGGGTTTATCTTTTAAAAAATAAACATGAAGTTGGTGAGTATATTAAAATTTTTTGTACTTTTTTATTTACTCAGTTTGGAAAAGTTGTTAAAATTTTTAGGAGTGATAATGGGACTGAGTTTGTCAATCAAAAGTTAAACAATTTCTTTGAAACTAAAGGAATAATTCATCAGACTTCATGTGTGTATACACCCCAACAAAATGGGGTGGTTGAGCGTAAGCACAGACACTTACTTAATGTTGCTCGGGCTCTAATGTTTCAGGGTGGAGTCCCGCTCAATATGTGGAGTGAGTGTGTGTTAACTACTACGTATCTGATAAATAGAACTCCATTTTCTCTGCTGAATGGTAAGAGTCCATATGATTTAGTTTATGGATTTCAGCCGGTTCTTACTCATCTTCGTAATTTTGGGTGTCTCTATTTTGTCCATATACCTAACGTAACTGATAAATTTTTACCCAAATCTGAAAAATGTGTTATGTTGGGTTATGCCAATTCAAAAAAGGGTTATAGACTTTATAGTCTAGAGTCCAAGAAAGTTATTTTTTCCAGAGATGTGAAATTTTATGAAAACATTTTTCCTTTTAAGATGGGTAATGAAAAGACTGATCGTGCTATGGATAAAGATCTTAATGTTCTAAATTTCTTTGACATTGTGTCTGATCCTTCTATTAACTTTGACGTTGTGGGACCCAATGATGAGGATAGTGGACCTCATGTGGATAAAACAAATAGGGAATCTGATTATAGGGATAGCAGCCGTAGTGAACTAGGTGGCCTATCCAGAACTGAAGATGATCAGTTACTAGGCAGCTCTGAAAATCAAGGTAATCAAGATCTTCTTCCTATACAAGATGATCTTAATAGAGCTACCAGTTGGCAGCCCTTAGGGAGCCCTGGGGCGGTTGCCAGTTTGCCTCATGGCGTAAGTCCTTCTGTTGAATCTATTGATGAAACGATAGGTCATATCTCTGAGGGTGTTAATTCCCAAACTCAATCTCTTAGAAGAGTTTCTAGACCAAGTAACTTTCCTAGAAAATATGATTATTTTGTGATAGAAGAGAAGGTCAAGTATGGTATAGAAAGGGTAGTCAATTATTCTTGCTTGTCGTCTGAAAATCTTTGTTTTTTTTCAAATTTGAATAAATCTGTTGAGCCAAAAACGTTTAGTGAAGCCTATAGTGACCATAATTGGATTAATGCAATGAATGAAGAAATGGAAGCTTTGCATAGGAATGGAACATTGTACATCACTGAGTTACCTAATAATAGAAAAGCCATTGGTTGTAAATGGGTGTATAAGATTAAATATAAATCTAATGGTGAAATTGAACGATATAAGGCCAGATTAGTTGCTAAGGGTTATAGTCAAAGAGAGGGTATTGACTATGAAGAGACCTTCTCTCCCGTAGTGAAAATGGTTACCGTTAGATGTATTATTGCTCTAGCAGTTCAATTTAAATGGCCTTTATATCAGTTAGATGTTAACAATGCTTTTTTATATGGTGACTTAGTAGAGGATGTTTACATGACCCTTCCTGAGGGATATTATAGTACTAATGATAAACGTGTATGTAAGTTAGTTAAATCTCTATATAGATTAAAACAAGCTCCACGTCAGTGGTATGCTAAACTTTCATCATGTTTAACTGAAAATGGGTTTGTGCAAAGCATTAGCGATTATTCCTTGTTTACCAAGCATGTCAACTCTGCGTTTCTTGTCCTTCTTGTGTATGTGGACAATATTGTTATTACTGGCAATTCTGAGAGTGAGATAAGTGTATTTAAAGAATATTTAAAAGGAAAGTTTTTTTATCAAGGATCTGGGAAAATTAAAGTTTTTTTTTGGGAATTGAAATTCTAGATTGTAATGGTGGTGTTTGCATGTCCCAAAGAAAGTACTGCTTAGAATTGTTAAATGATTTTGGCTATTTAGGTTGTAAACCTTCAAGTACCCCTATGGACGTAAATTCAGTTATCTCTGATTCAGATAATTCTAAAGACTCTCTTTTACCAGATTGTTCTGGGTATCAACGATTAATAGGTAGGCTGATTTATCTTTTAAGCACTAGACTAGATATAGCATTTGCTGTTCACTGTTTAAGTCAATATATGCATGCTCCGAGACAGTCACACTTAAATCTTGCATTAAGAATTCTCAGGTATCTCAAACATTCACCTGGAAAAGGAATCAGTCTTACAAGGTCAGATTCTTTTTTCTTAACTGCTTATGTAGACGCTGATTGGGGTAAGTGTCTTTTGTCTAGACGGTCTGTAACAGGTTTTTGCGTATTTCTTGGAAATTCTTTAATATCATGGAAAAGTAAGAAACAGAACACTGTTTCTCGCTCTTCCGCCGAGTCAGAATACAGAGCAATGGCGTCTGTATCCTGTGAGATTGTATGGGTTTTAAAGATTTTATCTGATTTAGATGTTAACAGTCTCATTCCTGTCAGTTTATTCTGTGATAATAAATCTGCCATTCAAATCGCTAATAACCCTGTTTTTCATGAGAAAACTAAGCATATTGAGATAGACGTCCATTATATAAGGGAAAAAATAAGTAGAGGAGTGCTAAAAATTGTCAAGGTTCCTTCCTCTGAACAAACAACAGATATTCTAACCAAAGCTCTCAGTATTAATCAACACAGTTACCTATGTTCAAAGTTAAAATTAGTTGATCTCTTTAAAGGTCAAGATTGAGGGCGGGTGTTAAAATGTCTATATTCAAATCATCCAATCTTGACAACTAACTATACTTTGAATGTTTTATTTGTTATTGATTCAACAGACTTGGGTAGAATCTGTCAATAAAGAAAAGATAAAGTTGCTGTCTAAGAAAAGGGGCACGCCTCACTTATTGGAGAACTTGGAGGGTAGCGGAGCAAATTATGTGAAAGTTTGAGGAGCAAACCTGGAAAATAAAATTGATATATAAAGATTGCACAACCGGCTATAGCTCACATCACTATTCATTTTATCAAAATCTTCTAAAGAAATACACAAGGAATCTTCTCTCTTCCTCCCCACAGATATGTTAACAATTTTCTTTTCGCATCATATTGAGTTGGTATTCTTCAAACCTTTCTCTAGATTTTATGATGTTAGATCAGTAGATATTAGTTTTGTACATACAATCTTTACATTTTCTGTTGTTGTAATCATCTGTTTTGAATTCGTATGATAAATCATTTACATATTGTGAAAAATAACAGATACATCTTTTCACTTAACTTTGTTAAATAAAAGGACATTTTGGTTTCTAACCAATTAATTATAAAGCATTAATTTTAAGACAACAATTAGGTGGTGCCACATGTCCACCTTCCTTTCCTCGTCTCCATTGAACATTCATCTCCATCTTGGGCGAACATTAAGCTCATATTTGGCAACCAGCTCCTACCTATGCACATCTAAAACAAAAAAACAAATCTAAAATATGGAAATGGAAATGGCTTCAACTTAATTTGTTTTTAGACATTAATTTGATGATTGATAAACACTTTGGGTTGTAAAAGTAAGTAGTGTAACTGAAGTATCAAGTGAAGTTAATAGATATCTTAATTAACTATTAAGATATAATTTAATAATAAGTGAAATAATTTTCTAATTGAATAAAATTATTAAATAAAACAATGTAGAAAGTCAAATAAATGAAACAAAGTTTTAGTTTAATTACAGAGTGTGTTTAAATTAAGAATACATACATACATACATACATGATAGATGTAGATAGCAAAAATAGGGATATTGAAAAGACATAACATGAAAACACAATTATCATATTACCATCCATCTACTTAATTAAAACTTAATCTTGTTGGGCAAGGCAATGAAGGATGCTTATTAATTTAATTAAATATCTATATAATATAATATGTATTTAATTACTCTAATCAAGGTGTAGCCACGTTTTCCTTGGCTTGAGGAGCAATCTCTTCACCATCAATCCCAGCTTCACTGCCTTCAACCCCCAAACTCAGAAGAGCCTCCTCCCACTTCTTGGCAGGTTTCTGATCATTAACAGCTTCAATAATTAATTATCTATATTCACTTTCATTTCAACTAATTAATTAACCTACCTTCCAGGAAAGTTCTTGAGCCATACAGTTTTGAACCATTTCTGAAAAAGCTGGAGTACCATATACTGCCAGTGCTCTGGTAACAGTCCTCGCAATTGCACTTACATCTGCTGGATCAACTGTTTCACACTGTATGCATCTAATTCATCTTAATCTATAGTTTCCAATTCTAGCTCATGCATATATTATTAAATCAAACACAACAACATTAATATGTATGATATATGATATATGATATATGATATTGTTGTTGTTACCTCAACGTTAAAAGCTCCCATTTGAAATCCTGTATATCCTTCTTTCACCGTGTCAACCAACCCTCCAGTTGACGCAACAATAGGCACCTACCATTCCAAATTAAAACACAAATATATAGTTAACTTAACAATCATACATATGATTAATGGTGTGTGTGTGTATATATATATAAAGTATTAGAGTTGTTAATTACACATCCATAAGGCATTGCTTGCAACTGTATCAGACCACATGGTTCAAATCTACTAGGCACTATTATGAAATCAGCTCCAGCTATAATCATATGAGCCAGTTTCACATTGAATTTGGCTACTCCTCTAGCCTTAAGCGGGTATTCTGTCTCTAAATCATCCAGCTGCTTCTCCATTGCCTTTTTCCCTGTCCCCTAGTTAAATTAAACAATCACTTAACATATATCTATATATTTCACATATTAACAAATTATAAGGTATTATTATTAATTACCAACAATATATTAACTCACAAGAACTATTATCTGGACGTTACTGCCTATGAATTCAGGGATGGCTGCAGCAAGAATATCTGAACCCTTTTGTTCTTCAAGTCTGCCTATAAATCCTATCACTGGGATCTTCTTATCCACCGGCAATCCAACTTCTGCTTGGAGGGCTTCTTTTATAAGCGGTTTTGCACTCATTACCTATACATACACATATTATATATATATATATATATATATATATATATAATAACATCAACATATTTATCATATCCCTATTCAGTTATTAAGGTAATATATTCATTCTTACAGTGGTAGCATCAAATTTGACACTGGTATATTTATCAGTCATGGGGTTCCATTCTTGGACATCCATCCCATTCACAATCCCATGGACACATGTTTTGCGGAGGATATTATCCAACTCCACTCCTTTGTCTGGCCCAGAAACAAGCTCTTGAGCATAGTAAGGGCTAACAGTTAAGATCTTGTGTGATTCCAGTATTCCTCCTTTCATCCAATTAATCTTCCTTCCCTTTACCGGTTTGTCATATCTGCACAGCTACATGTAACCGTTACACACAAACAAACAAACTTCCAACTAGCTAGATTGTAAATTACAAACATTAATTAATTACCCATCAATGAAATCAAAAGAGCTTTTGAACTCATCTGGAAGATTGAGTAGTGCAAAGTCTGAAAAAGCAAATCTGCCTTGGTAAGCTATGTTGTGGATACAGTAAGCAACCTGCACATATAATAATATAAGTAAAAATTGGCATTAATGGCTTCATCTCCTAATTAATTTGTATAAATAAGGTATAAATGGGATCTTACTTTAGCACTAATATACATTCCTCTGGATTGATACATGCTTTTCAAGTAGCATGGAATGAGTGCAGTATGCCAGTCATTGGCAATGAAGACAACATCTTCCCCTGCACCAAAACATCATATATATTTTTATCAATTTTTATTGTTTGTAAATCAAAGTCTCATGGATATATGGATCATATATACCGTATGGCCCTGAGAAATATTCACTGCTATTAAGGTTCAACACCCTTGGGGCTTCCAAAGCGGCCTGAAATTCATCATATATTTAATTAATTAATTAATTATACAGGAGGATTATTGTACATTTAGGATCATGCAAACATGGGAATTGAATTAAATAAGTTAAACCTGGCATAGTAAGCTGAATCTAAGCTGATTGTCCTGGTAGTCTATTCCAGCAATGGGTCCATAAATTTTTGAAGTGGTCTTTCCCCAAACCTGAAGTCCATAAATTTCATCAACTAACTTAAAAAAATATCTGCTAGCTAGTGTTTGATGAACAAAGAGAGAGTATGGAAATGAAAAAGGACCTTCTCCAGGAACATGGGGTGATCAACAAACACCCTGTCAACACCTCTCTTATAACAGTGGAAGAATCGCACTTTTTCAGTCCTGTCTCCAGCCTTGAGCTAGATACATATGTATGTATATATATATCAATTCCAAAATTTTGATGAAATGAATGAACCTACACCAATTATACCTCAAGTTCTACTTCAGTATCCCATGCATCCTTGTATTGATCGTAACGAGGTGATACTGTCATTACACGATGCCCATTTGCCTAACATACAGATTCATAACAACTAAGTTTAAAAAAAAGAGACAATATATATGTATATATATATATATATATATATATATAATATAAAGTAACAACATATGATGAGTGAAAAAGAACATACAGCCATAGCAGGAGGGAGACCACCTAATACATCACCAAGTCCACCGGTTTTGCTCCATGGACCTACTTCTGCTCCCACAAATACCAAATTCATCCCACACACGATCCCTTTTCTTGAAATCCCTTTTCTTGATTTCCCATTTCTTGATTTCCCATTTGCTGAATTCCCATTTAATGCCCCAATCACCCTTGCACTATAAACAACTCTAACTCCTTGATGCTGCCTCTTCCCAACACTTAAGCCACTGGCTTTAACCTCTCTTCTGTTGACAGATATTGCTACTCCATTGTTGGCACCTGAGCTTCTTGTCACAAAATTCCATCTACTTGCAGTTGCCATCTATGGAACTTCTTTAATTTCGTAGCTCTCTAAATCAAAACAATTTTTGATTCAAGAAACTGTAAGGCATTAATAATTCAATTCACAAAAACAAGGCCAAAGGAAGGGAGGATTTCTACCCTCTGTGAACCGACCGGAGGCAGCAAGCGTTGCAACCGAGAACGAAGGAGAGAGAATTTATAATAAATTTGAAGTATTAAAGATGTGGTTAATATGAAATTCACGTGGGCTACGTGCCAAAATGCAAACAAACACCAAAGTATTTTGTGTTTATGGTTGTTGGATTTAGTTACCATACATCCCTGTTCATGGCTTGCAACTATTCTGACCCGAACGAATATCCAAGATAAGCGTATGGGAATATAAACGAAAATTATTGCAACTTGTTGTCTGGACAAAGGTTTTTTCACCCTGAATTTTAGTCGCAATGTAAAAGGATAATTCCTTCACCGTTTCATTGATCATCAACAAGAATATATAAATATATATATATATATATATATATATATATATATATATATATATATATATATATATATATATAAAGTCAATCGAGAGGTATTCTAGGCTAAATCTATGACAAGTATACGAAGTCAATTGAGAGGTATTCTAGGCCAAATATATGAAAAGTGGAGACTGCCTATTACTATTATTAATCATAAAAGATACATAATAATCTATGGAATATCTATACATACATATCTATATTATATATAAGCACCTAAAACTTTTAGATGTTAAATTTAAGAGGTACCATCGTCTATGCATCATGTACAAGTTTTGAAGCTAAACATCCCTCATGAAACTTTTACGTCCCAAAGACTAGCAACGTACCCGCACACAACGTTGCGCAAATCATTTTGATTATGAAGCCGACAAACTGAAATGATAATATTGTTTCAAATTTTGTTTTATTTTCCGTCCCTTTCAATGCTAATTTTATAGTTTATTGTGATTTTAAATCATAAATCAGATGATTTATAAATTCAAAGTTAAAATGTTCCAATGGTCAAAGATTTTGAAATAATGTGTTTAACCCAAAGTATTTGTTGTTCTTGTCTTTTGAAGATCAACTTATGTATTAATTGGTGGTTTATAGTTAAAGGATGATGGGTCTTTTCAACAGTATGTCTCTTCAATTTTCTTGATCATAACATTATATAACATATGTGTATATATAATATTACCATTCTCAGTATAATTCCACCGTACTAATCTTCCGCTATGAAGTAATCCTAGTTGAACTTGGGTGTGTATGAATATTTTCAAGAACATAATATATTGTTTCTTGATAGCACTTATGTCAAAACTAAAATAGAGAAGAAGATATTGAGAAATAAAAGGATGAAGAGATGGAGATATGAGGAGTTGGAGAAAATAAATCAATTGCAACAAACAATAAGGGCAATGTTTATCAAGAAGTTGAATAATTGAGAGGTTAAACTTAAGTTGGATGTGAAATGACCAAAAAATCCCATTTATTATGAAACATACAATTTGTCTATAGGGACATAAAAGTCTTTAACTTAATTAGTATTTTAAAAACTAAAAAAAAGAGAAAAAAATTAAAAGAACTCCTAGCCTTTATAAGAAATGTCATATATAATGGTTTCTTCTTTAGTATATATAT